GACTTCAAGTGAACATAGATGAAACAGAGGTGATGAAGATTCCTGGCCAACAGTAACAGCAACAACAGCGACAGACAAAGATCAGTATAAATGGGAGGAACCTGAAAGAAACAACCTCCTTCACCTTCCCACCTGGGAAGCATTGTTTCAACTACAGGCGGATGGAACTGACGAGGATATCAAAGCCAGATTCGGAAAAGCAAGACACGCTTTCATTACTCTCAAGTCTGTGTGGAGGTCAACAGCACTCAGAATGAAAAATAAGATCCAGATTTTCAACTTCAATGTGGAGTCAGTGCTACTATACGGATCAAAGACTTGGTGCATCATAAAGAGCATCTCAAACAAACTACAGACTTTCATCAACAGTTGTCTTCGCTCAATACTCAAGATCAGATGGCCAGCCAGAAAATATCAGCAACAGGGATCTCTGGCAATGAGCGAACCAACCGGGAACCGATTGTGAAACAACTAGGCAGGAAGAAATGGAGATGGATTGGTCATACTCTGAGGAAACCATAACGTGACATCACTAGACAAGCCATCGCTCGAGTGGAACCAGGCCGAAAATGAAGCGGCGAGTTGGTCGTCAATGCAAGGGTGACTTGGAGGAGGTCATGTGAAGAGGAGATGAAAGAGTGTCGGCAGACTTGGAGCGGGGTGAAAAAGTTGTCAGAAAACCGAAGGCAATGGAGACGCGCATCTGAAGCCCTATGTTCCTTTAGGAATTAAAGGATAAAATAATATTAATGCCCAACCTCACCTCTTTACCGGCATTAGTGCTGAATTAGCAGGGTGTAAGAGTGCGTCTGCCTAGAATCGAATCCTATATCATATGCGTGATTGGCAAGCATTTTACCACTGTGCCACTGACGCACAGGGTATTCCTAGCTTCTAGTAAAATTGATTTTACTGGTTATATAATCTGATCTCATTGTTTTTTTCTTCGATGACTATACTAAGCACCTAACGTTTCACCCATCATATACTTATTCACTCGACTATTGAATAAGAAGAAGAATTGGATTTCATGAATTGAATGATTGTGTGGCCTGCTTAAAACTTGTGCTACCAAAAATACTTCCATCTCTGTGTTTTCTATAATTTCTATCATTAATTTTTAATGTTAATTAATTAGAATATGACCTCTAATGGAGCTGTTTACTCTTGCGCGTATTTAAAATGAATAAATTTGACAAAAGCCCAAACCATAGGTGGCTATGAGTTGGGTGATATAAATAAGTAGTTGAACCCCACTGATATCGACTAGTAGTGCTTACGAGTCAGGTCATAGTGATCTTAACAACGGTTAAACCTTTCACTCGTTTGAAAGCGAACTCATCAGCGGTCTACAGGGATTTATTTATTTATTTATTAGCAAACCCAGTGAGCTAAAATCACTCAAGTTCTGTCAAACCATTTCGATAAATTATGAATTGCGCCTCAAACGAGTGAAACTGCAGTCCAGCTCTCATATCCCTTCTCTGTGGCTCATACGCACTATAAGTCTATGTGAGCTATATTTAACTACTCAAAAACTAATCAGTAGTGTTTCTAGTAGATGTCCCATTCTGAATAACACATGGTCATAAGAATTAGAAACGAAAAATTCTGGGAATGAATCAATCAAGAACCATTTAAGTGTTGGTTTGTAGGGATTTGATTGGTTACAGGATTTCATCATGAGCTGACATCAGTTAGAGAACCATTAGAAAACCTGTGAGTACTGGACAGAAGTTAAAATTCATGGGCCATTGGATCGGGTCCCAGTGGCTGTATAGTCTACGATCTCGCCTAGTAACCAGGAGGTCCTGGTTTCAATACCGGTGGGTGCGTACTGTGAAGAGTTACAACCTCGAGCGAAACAGCTGTCCAGTACTCCCAGTTGGTTTTCCAATGGTTCTCTAAACGATGTCAGCTAATGATGAAATCCTGTAATTAATCAAGGACCAATTGCTCAACAAATATGTAGAAGAAAATGGACATATGTTGGATACACAGTGAGGAGACAGGTATGTAATATCTCAATTCAGACGCCCCGCGAGTGGAACTCGAATGAAAAATTACCAGTTTGTGCTTTGGTCTGCGCGTGAAATAGAGGAGATCTTTTGAGGAGGAGATAAGGAACTAAGAGCAGTCGTGGTGCCAGTTAAAGAGGACCACAGAGAACAGGAAAAAATGGGAGATGTGCTGTTGAGGCTCCATTTTCCAATCGGAACTCAAGGCACCGAGTAGTTAACTGACCTCTGAAGTAACAGGTTTCCAGCTGTGTCTTGAGTTCTTTAGCGGGAATATTTTTGTCGAATAATGTCTATCGAAGATAATTTTATGAGTTTCAGTAGGGACGAAATGTTTAGTGTCGTCAAACAAATAACCATACGTATACTACATCGTAACAATAGCATGAAAATGTGTACACTTGCCTACTAAATTTCTTGTGAACATTTGTTTGTCAGGCGAGAGGATAGATATATGAAGGAATGAAGATATAATCTGAGCTATTATTTGTATTATTGATAGCACAATTTCCCATCCAAACTAGTTTTTGCTGTCTACGAAAAAATATTCTTGATGAGCAAAACCATTAGAAGCGTCGGTGGCACAGTGGTTAGGATTCTCGCCAACCATGCACATGGTCCGGGGTTCGAGCCCACACCGACGCACACCTGATATCTATGGTCGGCCTGCGAAATTTAGGCTACGGATATCCACGCTGAAAATTCTATACTTGTACAAAAAATACGATGTGGAATCAAGCTGTAATAAAAAATAAAAAGTAAATAAAATAAATGTGTTAAGGAATAAAAAGGGGAACTATTACTTCACAAGATTGAATTGCTTCGTTTAATTTCTTAGCCTAATAATTATAACTTATCGTCATAAATATGACTCATATGTTAACCTATTGCAGACTTGACGGATAAACTGCCATCAAGTATCAAACATCAAATGTTAGAATGATACAATAAGGTAACCTCGATGAACTGGATGAATGAATGTTTGAATCGTGCATTATTTGAATTAGTTATTCATCATTTACGACCTTAATTGAAATAAACACTAAGATATTGTCACGTATATTGATGATAACTGCATAAAACTATACTGGTCAGTATTTCAAATCATGAGTTTCATGCTCTACTATTCGTGATATCAGTAGTACTGTTAAGTAAACTATAAATATTTATCTTTTTTTCTCTAACAATATATCACATTGATATATATATATACATGACATTAAGGTACTAGAGAAAATATGTAATTAAGATGATTGGAGGTGCTCGAAAGGAAGCCTTGGACTTAGGCTGGATGATTGCAGGCATTCACTAGTCAGCAGAGTGCATCCGTAACCTTCAAGGAACTCATATGCCAGAGTCACTCAGTGCTGTAATCAGAGACGTTCCACCTGGACTATTTTGGCTCACCGTTAACCTCCTGTAGGACTGACCGTACTTTTATTTATAATTTTATTCTTTTATGTTCCCAGTAGAACATAGGGTGGCTTCAAGCTATAGGCTTGAAGTCTTGGCAACAATGGAGTTTATTTTAACCGGATTAGGTTGTTAGCTTCAGACCCAACCTTCCTCTCTTTTCCAGTTTTTATTCCTGGCTTAGTGAGGTGAAGGAGTGCGTTGACTGACTGCATTGGATATTTCGATTGAACACTACGTAGTGAGTAACTACTATTATGCGTCTAGTAGTTTGTTTGGTGCAGACAAAAAGTTCTGTCAGGCTTTAAGTTAGCAGTATGGCCATCATGCTAGGTGGCTCACTACTTGAAGTAAGCACGACTGAAAATTAAAACTTGTGAAGAAGTTATACAGGCTAATTATAATATAGTTTTTTATATTTCCCAATGAATGAATGAAAAACTAAACGATATTATAGGTTTTACTGACGTTTTGATATTCAATGCGGCTAATAGCTTCATTAAAGCATTATTAAATCAGAATTTACAAAATCTCAGCTTATATATATAACAACTTAATTATCATTCCTCAGTATGGAGTCATTTTTGGTGTCGTCAAGTTGGCCAATCGATATAGATAACAAAACCAGGTGTTGATTATTGGATTTGATAAGTGTATAAAATTATATAAGCAGCTTGTATTTACATAATGAAACTGCTTATCAGTTACATGCGTGTTGGTTTTGTCACTTAATGTGGGGAGGTATTAGTATTGCGACCAGGCAAAATTCTGTTTCAGTTTTTACCGTTCCCTATTCAGACAATTTGGATTCTATTTGATTTGAAGTGCTTCTGATATCTAACGTTCTTTGTGATATCTGAAGTTTTTCTGGATGATGATTTCAATATTGTCAAAATCAATTTTGTGGCCTGATTCAACTGGATTTCTCGGTGGTTGAACAGATGCTCTACGGTGTTCGTTTCTTCTGATTTCGATTTATCTCTGGCGATGTTTGTCCTATGTATATCGCATCACATTCCAGGTATTTTATTTTGTAGACACAATTAGATAAAGAATCTTTAGGGATTATATCTTATATATGGACACTTCGAACTGAAGGATACGCTGCGAATGTTGTCTAGTAAGACGATAAGAGCTTCGCAGCTAAACTATCCATAACTTACAGAACACAACTATACGAAAAAGAATGAGAACTATTCAAATGGAGTTTCAAATAGTGTTATTATAAACAATAACTTGTCTTCTAGCCTTTGCCATACATTAAGTCACACTGTTTCACCCCGTGTGACATATCTAATAAGCAAATTCACATGAGGTGATGTAACATCGAATATGTGTCTACTTATATCATACCTGACAAGAATGACATAGTTCCTGCGCTTATTACTTGGTACGCTAATATCTGGAATTAGGATTACTCGCACACCCATTCACTCTCTTACTCACTGACGATTCTCACTGTACGTTCGTACACCTACCGACTATCAGCGATTATGCTAACATACTTTAACAATTGTATATCACAGATTCACAGTTTCAACATCACTAAAGCCCAGGAGAACAAACCAATTCAATCCAAATAAAAAATATGATTTATATTTAAAAATAAAAAGAGAAACAAAGGAACAAAATAATCCATATTGTTATGTAATAGGTAAACTTGAGTTATAGTTATAGTTAAAAAACAAACAAGCTGTCAGCTTTTCAGTATGTTTGTATTAAACGACGGAACGTCAATGTCAAAAAGAAATAACAGCCAAAATGATAATAATAATAAAAACCGAAATACAATTTATGATATTAATTTTCTTCAAATGCTCATCTAGTGAAAAAAATAATTTCTGCTTTTCCTGGCTTCACAGTATGCTGTAGTCTGTGTACATTCAATTATGCATTGAGGATACAATTGATACGGCCACATTTGAATTATTCATTACATATGAACTAACACTACCATTGATAGCACGTTTAAAAAAGCCAAGATTTCTTTTAAACATAATCACATTATCAATATTTTGTTCTCTAATTATCTTTAATATAGCTGGACCAGGTTTTGTATCAACTTGTATACAAGCTTCTGATGTCACTGCATAACGATGTGCTTCGTGAATCAAATGTTGACATACAGTTTGTGCAGCATGCATATTCTTTTCTGGTACATAATATGCAGATCCAGCTGGCATTGATTCACTTTCTTTTGACAATCCAGATAAAGCAGATGGTAGGACAGGGATAACCACATGTAGAAAGATAACCAAATCACCTTTACGCTTCATATTATTAACATACCAAACTAATGAACTTTGTGATTCTGGTGTACCATCAACAGGGATTAATATTTTACGGAGAATTTTACGATCATCATTAGTAGCAATGATTCCAGGCATATTGAGGGGAAGGCAGAAGAACTATAGAGATCGATCTACTTGTCGTTCAAATTTTAACGTGTACTTAATCTTGTTTATATAGTGTAAAATGATCTACTCTGATTGGTTGAATATCTAACTGAATTTTGATTGGATAAAATGTTACTATTTTCAGTTGGACCAATAAAATCAGCTGATTATCACATAGAAAATAGGCGATGTCTATAAAAATTGTTGACTAATAATATTATGAAAAAATTGCTGCAAAATTTTGTTTTAAATTTACCTCTTGGCTTTATCTTGGTCGAGAGTAGACTATTACGTGATATCGCGCAACTATTGTGTTTTGAAAAATTTGTTATTCCACTACCGGTTGATTAATTGTTTGAAATTATCCAGGGTTAATATTCTCTACTTTTTAGATAAGAAATTTTATAGTCACAGTTTAAGATAATTCATTGGCTACGCTGTGTTTGTGAAGAGAGAGATATGAATGTTGGGTTTCTCAACAAACGGCTATTTTGAGTACTGTTCATGTAGTGTGAAGTAGTTAATTGTTATTGTTTTACTTTTTACAGTTATTTTGGTGAGTTCTGAAACGATTATTCTCTACCTGTGTAATTCTTAATATGACTGTAGTGATTTGTTAATGATAATACTGCAGGTAACATGCTAGTAGCTTTAATGGTTACATTCAAAACTTGGCCGAAGAACTCTCATCAGCATTAGGCGTTCATAAGAAGTATTTGCTTTTAACAGTTAATAATCCACTTAAGTTATTTTATGCCTATTGATATAGTATGAAGTTGAAATACGTCAATTGAACACTGGATAATGTACACGAGTCCTACTGATAAGGACCGTTAGGCGCGAAACTTGGGTGATTTAAAGAAATTGTATTCTAACACCTGAGACAAGAAACTATGAGACTTTTGGTTGATTATTTTTAATAAATTACTAAATAAACTTGTGGAAATTAATTCGTTTAGGCCAGATGATTATATATGATGGAGCGAATTTGTAGTCCAGGCGTATGAAATCGATGCCTTTGAGTTCTTCAGGACGGTTAATTTTGTTGCTAAGGTTTTCATGTCATTCCAGATAATAACTTTTGGTATTGATTTTGACTTACAGTGAGGTTTAAGAATTCCCCAGGAGTTTAACAGGAGATGTGGTTGCAGTACAACTACCCAATATAGATGTGTATACGTCGGAATCCAGAAAAAGTCACTTGTAGAACGGAGAAATTGTATGATGACCTCCCAGAAAATTCCGAGTAGTTTATCTGCAGTCTACTTTGGTAACTGAATATTTTCAACCTTTCCTTTATTAGATTATGTAATATTTCGCATTAACTTGTCCTTCCTGCATTATAATGCAATTTCATTTGGCTCTTGTTTCTATGATTTGAGTTGATTTCGCCCACACCTTTAAGCAACTTATTAGTTAATCATTACTTTATTTACCGGTTGTTTGAGTTACATAACTCTTTTTTGGTATTGTATCCAAGTATTTATTTTCTGCTTTAATGTGATACGATTATGAGCAATAGATTGTGCTCGAAACCTTGTCATCCCTTTTATTAATAATACCGCATTATCACTGTATGTTATTTCAGATAAACTTATCTAATCTGGAATTACATTCTACCACCACAGTGAGCCCAAGTTGTACACTTACATTAATTTCACAATCTTAACTTAGTCCTTTCTTCTTAAGAATTTATTTGTTATTATGTAATTTTTACCTATAAAAGTTATCTTAAAATGTCAATAATGGACACTGAGGTTTAGGTGATTGATTCTAAGATACAAATATTTAGAGCTATGATTATCATACAGAGATAGTATGATGTAATAATTGACCTTGACAGAGTTGGTGTGGTTTTTTCACTGTGAAAACAAAATTATAATAATAGCACATTTGGATTTTGTTGTTACCACTGGTGTACTTTTTTTTCTCTCTCAGATATTTGTAAGAAGTGTAGGTTTATTGTTGAAGTTTACCAGCACTTAGGTTAATTAAGTTATTAAGTGATTTGAGTTGCATTCATTCACCTCAGAGTAATATTATATATTATTCATTGATCACTTAGAAGGATGCAGATAAATATTTTAAAATATTGTATTCTGCAAGAATTTAATTGATTCTGGTGGTTGAAAACCAGAGAGAGAGGGTGATGGATAGCTGATGGGTCGTAGTTTGGAATTAATAGTAGTATTACTAATCTGTTTTATTCCGAAACAACAGTAATTATAATACAGCATGGAATTTTTAGCATTTATCACAATATTGCATCTAATTTCCGTAAAATATAAATAAAATTAACCACAGGGACTCTTCCACATTTATGGTAGGGATAGTTTCAAAAATGTGCAGAGCATAAAATGAGAATAATAGCAATAGTAATAATAACAGTAGGTTTATGTCAGACTGTTATGGAACTAGGTTGAAATAATTGTACAAAACTCCTTGGTTTTCGACCGCTCCGCGTCGGTGGTACAGTGGTTAGGACTCCCCGCGTCCCCCGGGGCCAAAATTTGGGCCCCAAAATTCCTTCCAAAAAGGAAAAAAAAAAAAAATATCACACCATGACAGAATTTAGGCTGGAAGTTAAATAACCTCGGAAATCGCCGAAATTATTATCTGTAATCCCATCATTTCTAAGTGAAAAAATGGAGTGCTTTTAGATAAGTTGATTACTTTGAAAGATTGAGGGTTAAAAATAACTAGAAATGATTTAACGCTGATGAACTCTTGGGTCTTCTAGTGAGCTGCTTGCTTGGCAAGTTATCCAAGATGAAATTTGACATTCCTAGATTGAATTATTTAAAAACTTACGTGTATGGAATTTTGAGGAGTCTCTGTGGAGGACAAAACAGATGTTTGGCAGTCTATGGTTTTAAAATCTTCCTCCAAGAGGTTATTGGTTTGTGATGAAACCTGTCTTGAGATAAGTCAAATTTTTATGAAGCCTACAAGTAAAGTTTGATGACGTCTTCATAAACTATTAACAGTTTAATAGTTCTTCCAGTATCAACGGAAGTGTGAAGAGATACTTTATCGAAGGTAAATTGTTTAGATTCTCCGAAATATGGTGCCAAACTACATTGAAGCTTTAATTTCTGGAAGCCTTATTCATATAAATTCAAGCTGAGGACAGAACGAAAGTATGCAATCAGTGTTAAGGAAACAACATTTATCTGAATACTGAAGTAAATATTTAAGATAATTTGCTGTAGATGTGGCGCCAGCCTGTAGAATACATGTATTAAGACAAGTAGAAATTCACTTCAGTAAGAAATATGATCAAGAGCAAACGAAGAGAGCACCGAAAATTATTCAATACAGATACCAAATTCCTAGTTATGGTTGCGTTACCTCGATTTCCTAAGGAAACTAATCTTCGAGCCACTTGAGACAAGGCATTTCATTTAACTCTTGTGAAGTGAAACTTAGCATTACATGCCTGGTCGACAGATAAGACATCCTACTCGATATGAGACTCTATGCTTGTTGACGATCCCCAACCTGGTTTGTCTGTTGCAATGAAGAAACTCTGGTGTATTACATGGTTCAGACCAGACCAAAGTAATCAATATTCTCGCAGGTTGTTCAGTTTATAACTGATGACTTTTGTGAATGAGCAATGGACATAAAATATGGATCGAAGTTAAGAGTAATTACGTGTCTTCACGTAGGGTAGCGTGTTCATTTAGTGTCTTTACTCTCTTAGGTTCTTTGTGAAACATGAGGCTTCAGCAGCGGGTATTTATTTCAGTATTTTATCCTCGGTCTTATTCATGCTAACTCCACATTTATGACAAGGTAGGATCTCCGCCAGGCACAAGTTCCATTCGAGGATCACTCATAGGTCCAATCTGTTTGATATTTGCTTCTGAATATTTGTTGGACAAAAGGTTCTTGGCTCTCTGTTTGCAAGACTTCTATGTTTCATATCTTTTCTGGCCAATCGTCTGATGTTCAGCATCCAGCTAGCGAAGGCACGTGCCAATGCAAGTCTGCAATAGACTGTTGGAAATGCTTTCGGTAATCTGTACATCCATATAGAAACACTGACTTGACTTTGGTGTTGAAAATTCGAATCCTGTTCCTTATCCTGAGTGCAGTAGATTTCTACACTGATTCCAAATTAAGAAAGGTCTGTCTTCTTTGACATCCTTATCTCCGTCACCACCTGTAATTGAAAAGATGCAGCCGAGTTGATTGAAAGAGGTAACCCCTTTAGATTTCTCCCATTGATGGTGATCGGATCCTATCGTATAGAGAGTGAATATTCTGTTGGTAAATTTTCTGACCTTTCTAAATAAGTGAGACAAGCTTGAATCTTGCACAGAACATGAATTCTTCCTATACTCTAGGCATATCTTGATAGAGAGTAACAAGAAGTCAGGAAAAAGAGACCACATATTGTCCTAGCCTTTAAAAGCTATAGAGATAATAATCATTATTATTATTATTGTTTCCATGGGTTCCGAGTAGAACATAGCGTCTTCATCAATACCTCTCCACTTTGTCCTATTTTCTGCGGTCCTAGTTAGCTTCCCCCACGATTGCAAATGATCTCTGATCTCCTCCTTGCCACACGACCTTCTCCATGTCAATCTCGGATTCCCCACTTGTAATTTCCCATTCGGATTGCACCTAAGAGTCTGGCGAACGAAGTCATTCGATAGTCTCCTGGGGAAATGAAATTCACAAAAAATAAATGTAACCACTTAATGAATATTTAGTTAGTGAGCATAAATTTGCTTTTTCCGTGAACTGAAGATCCAGGGCTTGATTACTCATCGTGAGATCACAAACAGGCACTACTAAAGAGTCACAAGCCAGAAAGAACCAGCTGTCCAGTCAGTGGTCACTCGATTTCACCGCCTCATGAAATCACTTCATTTTTTGTAACAAAATCTACATAGAATGAAATATGGCAACCAGTAGTTTTAGTCTTGTCATTTGGATGTATATTTAATGTCACTCAATTAAATTAAATTAAATTCTACAGATCATTGACCCTGTAAAAGCTCAAATTATGATTCAGAAAAGTTTCCGAAGTGATATTCAGTAGGCGTTTGAGTATTTCTTCTCTTAACTCAAAAACAGAAGAAAGGTTGTGTCAGTGATTACAAAAAGCTTTGCTTTCTGTTGTTATTCATTTTTCTCTTTTTGGTTGCATTTCACGTTGAATTTCATATGTGAATGTGAACGGAGGTTTTTTTCTTTTCTATTTTGTACTCATTT